AGTTAAAAAAAAAATATCTGAATATATCATGACCAAAAAGAGTGAAATTGAAGAAAAAATTAGAAGATATCATCAAAAAACCTTTAGAAAATAAGAGGCCAACTTTGATAATTTTACTAATGACTAGAAAAAAGAATACAATTCCAAAAACTATATCAAAGTATAGTAGTACAAAGATCTTTTAGATTCTATTTTACAAGAAGAATTGAGTAAAACACTTTAAATATTTTTCAATAACAAAGCTCCAGGAAAATCACAAATTAGTTATAAAATATTAAAAAGATTAGATTATAATGAAAAAGAATATATAAGAAAAATATTAAATATTTTTCTAAAATGGTAAACAATATCTACTGATTGAAAATAAAGCCATATTTATCTAGTAGTGAAACTAAAACCATGAAAATGAGATTTCTTAAATATAAGATCTATTGTATTACTAAAAGTTACAAGAAAATATTTCATTAAGATTTTAATAAATAGACTAAAAAAATATCTACAAGCTTAATAATGTTCTAAAAGATTCTAATTTTGTAAAACTATTGGGAAAGAGTACTGTAAACTGATTCAGATTCTTAACAATATTTATAAAAATGCAAAAGAAAACAAAAAGGAGTTATGAATACTTTTTCAATATATAATTAAGACCTACTATACAATCAGCTTAAATATATTAATAAGAGCTATGAAAATAATCAAACTTTCAGAAGTGTTTATTAAGATTATAATAGGTTTGTTTTAAGATAAGAAATTTAGAATCATAATCAAAAATAAACTCACAAAACCAGTAATAGCTGGATATGAAATTAATTAAGAAGAAACTATTTTATCTCTAATGTATAGAATTTTTTATAATCCTTTGTTATGTAAAATTTAAAATAATGAAACAAAGGAATATAAAATATCAATTACTTGGGATTCAAGTCTAAAAGAAGAAGAAATTAATAAAAAATTAAAATCTAGGTATGCAGTTATCACCTTTATAAATGACACTATATAGGTAGTAAGATCCAAAGAAGACATGGAAAAGATTTTAAAGAAGCAAGAATCTTTTACAAAGTCAAAGACTCCCAAATTAATAGTAATAAATCAGTACTAGTTACTATTAATAATCCTAATTACTATCCAAAAGAAGTTAAAGCAGGAATTAAAAATAAAACAGTTAAAGAGCTAGATAGAACTGAACATACAGGATTTCTGGGAATCTGGATTGATAATTAAAAAACAATAGTTAAGCCAAAAGAATAAATACTCAGAGAGATCAATGCAATTATATAAGTTCTTAAGAATAAGAGATTAATTAATAAACAAATACTTTATATTTTAAACAGGTTTCTGATATTAAAAATAGAGTTCTATATGTAACATAGTATACTATTCTAGAAAATATATAACACTTTAATCATAACATATAAAAAACTTCTTAAAAACAAAGATAACTTGTGTAAATCTATATTTAATAACATAATATACTATTTAAAGATATAAAAGAAAAGTCAAATAATAGAACTATATAACAAATTAAATAACTCAAGATCATCAGAACTTATAACAGTTATTAGAATTAAACAAGTATAAGTTAAATACTAGAAATCACTTAATTTACTCTTCTGTAAGTTATTAGGTCATATACCTGGTAGAGGTAACTTTGTACTTCAAGTAATAAAGTTGACCAAAGATATAAAAATAAGGTTTTAAAGCTAGAAATGGCAAGGTATTTTCGAATAGGACAAAGGTAATTATTTAATAAAAAAGTACCTAACATTAGATAAATATATAAATGCTATACTATTACTTAAAAACAATAAGCTGATATATATGGATCAGCTGATTATTCATGAAACTAAAGAATTAAAAGATAGCAAATGATTCAACTAATCTAGAAGACTAGTAAGGGGCCCATTCTAGAATGGTATCTAGTGATAGAAAGGAATATAAAAAAAAGAGAATCAGAATAGCTCATAAAATTCTAAAAAGAAAATTGGTCAAAATGGGAATCAATAATTACAAAGATAAATCCAAATTGTGATAAAAGGCAAATAATCTAGATAGTAACAAGTAATAGAAATTAGAAAATAATAGGGGAAAAGTTAAGATCGAAAGATACTAAGCAAGTAATATAAATAGAACACTTCAAATATACTGAGTTTCCAAATAATTAAGAGATCAGTCTAACAAAATGTTTAGGATATGTAGAAGATAAAATGTGAAGAGTCAATATATAATAGAGATAAAAAAGAATAGAACATATGATATTTTTTATCTAAATACAAGAAAATTTGCAAAAAAAGTTCAGTAGTTAAATATTTCAAGTTCTAAAATAGTTTTAGAATAGACAATAGAAAAAACAATCCAAGATGATTATAAATCCAATCTGAATAGTAGAGTAAGTCAAGTAGATATAGAGAATTGGGAAAAGCATATCATTAGAAATAATATAAAAGAAAAAGCATATTAAAACCACTTAATTGAAATACTCCAATGTAATCAATAGTTCAAAGAAACATTGATTTTTTATTTTGATGAATCTCTTATTGATCATAGATATAAAAAAATGAAGATGGAAGTAACATAGATACAAGTAAGAAGAAAAGAATAGAGAAAGTAAGTTTTAAAACAGGAATAAATAACCGGTTATCATTCACTAGAACAAAACTAGTAACAATAGTTATAATATTACTAGTTATTCCAACAAATAATAAGATTAAAATTTTTATAGATAACCAAGCCTATATTATTAAGTGAAAAATAATAAAAAAAAAAGATTCCAAAAGAATTTACAAAAGATGATTAAAGGAAAAAAACTGGTCATTATGGACAAGCATATTAGATATTATAAAAAAAAAGAATTGGATCTGAAATTAGTCAAGATCAAAATATATTCTAATGACTCATACAATGAAGAAGTAGATACTCTAGCAAAGGAAGCTTTAATACTTTCTATAATCAAATGGAAAAATCTTACTTTATTTAAAATTATTACTGAAATTAAATGATATGAAATAAATTTAGATAATCCCATAAGACAGTTTATTAAAAACATGAATAGTAAAGTTATAACTTATCAATAAATAAAATAAAATAAGATTTTGAACAAATAGAACTAACAGATTTGAGATCAACATAACTATATATAGGATTTGATATGTGAAAAATTAAAAAATAAATATACTTGAGATATCTTCTTTAAAGATTTTTAAGAAAGAAACTTCCTTATCAAATTAATCAATGAAGAATTATTAATATTTCTCAAACTGACTATAAAAAGACCAAATCTATATAAACAAGTAATATGTATAGTATATAAATAGTAAGTAGAAACAATAGAATATCTATTATAATATCCAACATATAAAACCCAATGGTAAAAAATATGAAACAAAGGAATTAAAAGTATTTTAAAAGACTTTTGAAAACTTCTATATGAAAAAAAAAAAGAGATAGAAGAGAATGAAATAAGATTTCTAATTAAAGACAAAATAAAATTAAAAAAATTAGATAAATATATAACCAGGTTTATAAAAGAAACTACAGAAATAGACTAGAATATATTAAACTTTTGTATGGAACTAATACAAAGTAATCAGATATTAAAAATATTAAATATAAAATATTGTCAAAAAAGAATAGGTAAAGAAATTCGAAAATAAATAATAAAGATATAATAGAAGGTTTGCAATCAATTCCAAAAGAAAATTTGGAATAAAGGTGCTCAAGAATAATTGAATAAAAATAAATACAAAAGATCTATAGAAAAAACAAAATAAGAAGATTAGCCAGTCCTTTAAATCAGAATAACAAGATCATAATTATAAAAAAGTTTTTATAAAAAGAAGAAAAACTTGAAGATAAAGGTTTAAAACAAATCTTATTAAAAGAACTAAAGTATAAAATAAGATGATTAGGGTTTTGATTTCTATCAGAACTTATAAAAAGGATTTGCAGTAGTAATCTGCAGGCAATAAAATTAGTAGTTGGAAGGGTTTTTACTTGAGCTACTAATGGAATGATAAATCACTTCCGAAGTTATACTTAAAGTGATAATAATCAAGATGAGTAAGTTAATTAGAAATTTAGCTTTAACAATTCATTTCACATGTATAATATATTAATGTTTAATAAAGTATATATAATTAGTTTGATAGAGAGTAAAGTTTTCAAGGTTGAACTTAAAGACTTTTATGCTTATGACAAGTTAGTTAGATTAGAATAATGGTTTAGCTGAGTATGTATTATGTTACTCAAATGAAAATATATTTTTATTTTCAATTGATTAATAAACTGATGATCTAACCTGGCTACAGGTTCTCAAAAAAAAAAAAATAAAATAAAAATTAATTATAATAATAGAATTATGAATTAAAAAAAAATTTAAATAATAATAATAATTATTATTTATTTACTGTATATATAGTATTTTTAATATTAGAAAAACTTTATATATTTTAGTTTTTTTGATTTGATAAATTGATTGTTAATATAAGATGGGTACAAGTGCTAAACCTGACTATGCTATTAAATATATAAATTTATTCTAAAAAAAAAAAAAAAAATTTTTTTTTTTAAATCTTTACTGTACGTGTAATTTAATTTTTGTAATGTAATAGAAGTTTTATTAATTAAACGTTGCAAAACTTCCATCAGAAGGTAAACATCTAACGCAAGTGAGTGAAAATTTGCTTTGAAAATAGTAATTTCCATGAGCTGAAAAGGTAGAATTAGAATTACAGTATTCCGAAGAAACTCCGGTTATTGTTACCATATGCGATTACGTATATGCCTGTTGTGCAATTTCTTAGTGATGTCACTTATATATTTGCCTTACGTATACGTATATGAACTGACCTAGCTCGAATTTATCAAACATCGCAGTCTCTTGTGCCCCAAAGAGTTAGAACTACTTATTCATCTTAAGTTTTTCTTTTCGTTCTTAATAAATACGCGTGCAAATAATTTTTTACGACACTTAGAAACTTTAGACTGCTTGATCAAGCAGCATAATGAAGATCAAGAAATCACCACCGAAGAAATTGGCGGCACCCGTAAGTAATTTTCCTTTTTTCCGGATTTAGCCGCCAAGTGCTCTAGACATTACTTGGGCCTTTAAAAGGCGGCCATGTTATTTGAAAATTAAGTTTCCGTGAACAGGCGGTCTCTTTTATTTATAAAAATTGGTTGCGTCTCAAATAATTTTGATCTAGCCAGTTTTATTGAATATGAACAATCAAATGTTAAAATTTTTTGTCATTACGAGCTCCTCCTATATCGATAATATAACACTCACTTTATATACTTCTTTGTCTTTGTATTTCTTGTTTCATTGCACAGACCCCGCAAATCAAAAATCTTATACAAAAACTCAATGAGTGTCGCGAAAATGAGATACCAGATATAGTGGATTCTGTTCGTGAATGGAGTTATCCACGTGGAGATCTGTTCCACTGGATCGGTGTTTTGAATCGCTTCGATACAATCCTTGAAAACATTTGTCAAGTGTACAAGCTTAAAAAGCTACAAACATCAAATTTTTCAGAAGAAACGCGCACAGTACTAGTGGCGATATTGAAATTTTCGCGGGTACTGTTGGAGAATTGCACAAACAGAAATTTGTACAGCTCATATGAGGTTTGTTGGTTAAACTGGAATCGTGTTTTTACCGTAATTCATGTGGTTCTCATAATTACTAATGTTTCAACTTTAGCATCTAAACGATCTGTTATACACGAGTGATTTAGGAGTACTGGAGGTGTTGTTACGCTTGATTCTCAGACCTGCACAGCGACTTAGCAATCAGCGAGCGCTTCGCACAAATTTTACAATTTCACAAGAACGCATAATAACTCTAGCTCATAGTTGGGGAACAAAAGAGTATAATATTGAAATGGTGCATCTTGCATCTGATGAGGTGACAATTCCGGAAGAATTGACCACCTTGAATTATCAATTTTATCGTCATCTAACTCCGTTGGAAGCTGCAGAAACGACTGTCGAAAGGAAAAACGATGTCGTTACGACCGTTCCCCATGCACAGTCACATAAAAATCAGCGGAAAGATAGTGCTTCGAGTTCTGGTGGAACCAAAGCTGGAGAGGGTGTTACAGTAATTTCCATTAATGACGTTCGTCAATTGGGGAATACAGACATGGACATTTTGAATGCTGTTGTTAAGGAGTATGAAATTCCGGAAGAGTTCCATTTTGCTCTTCTGAACAGAATTCGAACTGTAACCAGTATCACCTCGACGGAGTCTAGACGAAGATTCTTAATAATAAGGATTCTCGCCATTGCTATCATGGGTAAGCTTAATTAATAAATATCATGTGCACATATATATGTTCTTTTGATCTTAATAATAAATGAACCGTTTGCCATTTTGCTTGCTTATTTTAGCGCACATAATTCCCGAACATGTAGCTCAACCCAAGTTATTTTTGTATGAACCTGACATCGTTGCAAGCCTCGCCGAATTAGTTCATCCAGATCGAAATGTACCATTTGTATGTTAATATATTCTTTACTCAATGATTACTTGATTGTTTTAAGAATTTAACATCTTAAAAAAAAAAAAAAAAAAAAAATTTTTTTTTTTTTTTCATTATTTTATAGGAAATCCAAACTGTTGCATTTTTCTCTTTGGATGGGATCAGCAGGTATCGATCCAAACTTGGAGAAGTATTGACAGCAATAAGTGCTTCGGCAAATCATGGTATTCTACTTTACGTATTACGGAGAGTCATTGCAGATTTAGATCGGGATCGTCGTTAGTACTTTCTTTAGAACTTTTTTATTGTGTTGACACCGTTTTCCAGTGTTCCATTAACATAATCATTTATTGTTCAGAAATATATCCCCAAGAATATTATGATGCCCTATTTGCCTTAATATCTTATATTATCACCACACAAACTGGCGGGACCATGGTAATATCAGCAGGAATAGTTCAGACACTCCTGCAGTTAATAAATAACAAGATTTCACATCAGTTAAAAGTATGATATAGCTCAATCTTTTTATTCCGAATGTTTGTCTCCTCTGATTTACTAAAATTGTATCGTTTCTAGAATATTACAAAGGCTATTGGACTTTTGGATAGCCTTGTCTATGGATTTAATACATCTTTTACCTCGTTTTGCAATGCAAATGGTGTTCGCATACTAGTGAACAGGATTAAGGTTTGTTTCTTAATTTTCGACTCTTTTTATCATAGATCTTCGCAAATATTCTTATCTATGTTCTAATAATTAGGATGAAGTCGATTTGGGGGTACGGCATGCAAAAGATGTCCATGGTGATCAGATGGAGGATGTCACCATTGCGAGTTCTGCTGCTGTTTCTGAACAATCATCCTCAAAAGGTAGTTAAAATTGAAATTTTTTTAATCATGAATCTACTTGCTTCATTATTATTCATTTGGATGTGACTTTATAGTCGAAGTTGCCACTTCCACTACAGAAAATGAGGTATCACTTCCATACGAGCGGTCATCTTTGTTAAAGTCGATGTTAAAGTTTGTTTTACACATGATGCAAGCCTCCGGTACAGCAGATGGTTTGCGAAATCTTATAGACACCTCTCTACCGGATTCTTTGAAAAAAATTTTTGAATTACCAAACACTTTTGGCAGCAGTATATTTGCTCTTGGTATGTATCTGTAACTTGTTTCTCCTTTTTCGCGTGTGGATACTCACTAGTTTTGTTACAGCAATCAACGTTGTCGCGACATTTATTCATAATGAACCCACCTCGCTTCCAATAATGCAAGAGGCGCAACTTCCGCAGACCTTCTTAAATTCAATTTGCAAGGAAATTCCTGCATCAGTAGATGTAAGTTTGGATCTACGTCGACTCATTATATTTCATGAAATATCCAAAATAACAATGATTTCCACTTAAAGGTTATCCAATCAATTCCAAATGCATTCGGTGCCATTTGTTTGAATACCCAAGGAATGGATATCTTCAAAGAGAAGAATCCGATTGATAAATTTTTCTCGATTTTTACTTCGACCGAACATTTACGTGCTCTTCAAGATGGAGATGTTGCTTCCGTTTTAGGAACTTCAATTGACGAATTAATGAGGCATCACCCAGTATTGAAACAAAATATTATGGCTGCAATAATGTCGGTCTTACAGCGCATTCTTGATCTTGGAAATAATGAAATGGCTATTAAAGATGACTTAAGTGTCTTGCACGTCGCTGCGGACGGAGACCAATCAATAAATTCCGAAATGCACGTGGAGTCAGTGTCGATGGATGGCAACATAGTTGACACAGATTCGCAAAAATCAGAAGATAAAAAAGAGAACACTGTGGTAGCGTTTATCGAGATCGCAGCAAGGGTATGGGCTCAGTCTAATATTAACTTTTAGCTAACGTTTTAATTTAAACCTAGTGGCATAAATTTAACAAGATTCCTTTCAATAGTTTTTAGAAGGCTTATTCCAAACTCAAAATCATTGCAAAGATTTTCTACAAAAGAATGGACTTAATATGATCCTTGAATTTTATGCGCTACCAACTGTACCCTACGATTTCGCAAGTTCTCAAGCTTCATATTCTCTATCAAATTTGTTACGAATTGTTTCTGACGTTGATCCGAAAAGAAATGTTACGTCAATAATTGCTGCTCTTAATAAGACACTTCAAAGGGCAACAAACTTCTTAACTTATGAAGGAAAAGGAGGTCTTCTTGTAGAATATATAGACTTAAAAGGTATGTTTATTTGTCTAATGTGTCCATTCATATTAGAACACTTACTTGTATATATTAAAAATCTAAAAAAAAAAATTTTTTTTCCTTAATAGCTGTCGACGCCGCAAAGGTCGAGGAAGCCAACGCTACATTCAGAGTTTTAATTGCACTTCATGGATATGTCGGGTTGCTTTCTGACGTATATTGCACGCCAGTTTTTTCCCACAGTAAAAGTGCATCTTCCGTCATTGAAGCTTTTGTAGGAGCCGACAGTGAAATTCTGCCAGCTCTCGGTAGACTGCATCGGTATTGCGATCATTCGTTATTTCTTTTCTTCTCTTCCACTTTTTTTTTTTTTAAAAGAAAAATTCTAATATTTTTAGAGCTTGCGTGTGGGAGAACGTCATTCTAAAGTCGTCTGTGCCAAAGTCATGGTATAACACTCAAAATAAAGTCAAAAGACATTCACTTGTTCCGGAGGCATCTTCAAGTGCTGCACCATTGTTTGATGAGGTCGAAAAGGATATCACGGATGCAAATGAACCACCGGTTGATCACAATGACCGTCAAGTGAAAAATGCTAAATACTTCAAGTTTTTGGTTTCTCAAATCCCTTCATGTTTGACAACCTTGTTTCAAGGTAATTTCTTCTTGTATTTCTACTTTTAATTACGTATATAATTAATAACATGAATATACGATGTAGGTCTAGCAAAAATGTTATTCTCTCGAAAAACTCCACCCGATCCTTCGCTGAGAAAGCAAGCATTCAAGATTTCGGATGCAATCGCAGATGTTCTGAGTGATCATCTGAGTTGGTCTCGTTACAGTATGTTATTTATTGTCTTCATTATTTGCTACTATTATTATCTTGTTGGATGATTGCATATCTTATCCATATTACTTTTCTCAGATCTCGATGACGACTCTTATTCGTCAAATAAGTACAGTTATCTTACTGTGATGCTTGGGCTTCTACCTATACTTTTCTTGGATGGTAAGCTGATGAAACGCATTGATTAGTTCTAAATTCCTCGCGATTCAATGCTGACATTATTTAATATTCCAAGAACGAAATCAAGCTTCCCTCCAAACAATGTTAGTTGTTTCGTTTGATCACGTCGGAGGTTTAGAACATGTATTCATTATTCTTCGGCAACTATGGGAAGAGGCTGAAGGAATCAAAGCCCTAGATGAATTTTCAACTATAGAGGCAGATGATAAATCAAAGGAAAAACTTTCCAAGATTCATGGGTGCATTGATGTCACCTTGAATTTCTTCCAATTCGTCGGATCTTCAAAATTACTCCACGATTCAGCTCAGACAGCACCGTTAACGTCAAAAGATAAAGACACACGCTTTGACCCATTTGAATTCCTTGTAAATGTTCGCGCCAAAATTCTTCCCGTAATTTACGAATCGTGGAATAGCGCGTATCTACTGAAGACACCACCAAATATTGTTCGCTCCGTCATTCAAAATCTGGTTCAAATTTTAAAGGCAGAAGGCGAGGTTAACAATCGCTCGGAGGGATCTAGTTCAGCCGGCAGTGGTCTGGCCTCAATAGCTTCATCGGTTTTCGGTACCACTCGACCTCTTGTCCCGGACGAAAACAGAGTGCGACAGTTACTCGACATGGGATTCTCGCGCTTAGCATCCGAAACGGCACTCATGCGTTGCGGTAATAACGTTGAGAACGCTACGGAATATTTGTTGACGCATCCACACGCACATACTATTGCGACATCGATGACTACGGAAGCTCCGCCTACTGAAGTCGGTCGCGATTCGCCGAACAACTCAGATACGAGAGACGTAAACGTGCCTGTATCAAATGCTGATGTAACTAGTACTTCGGGGGGCGACGAAGATGCTTCTGATAATGAAGATGAAGCTCAAGCTCTTGCCATGTCAGCGCAAGGCAACTCGGCATCCTCCGAAAACGCTGGTACCGAGACAAGTGACATTTCCGTGCCTATGGAAACTGATACCACTACAAAAAAAGTTGATAAGGGTAAAGCGAAAGAAATTTCTTTAACAGAAAAGCTTAGGAATGATCGAGAAGAACTTAAAAACACATCGGCAGCTCGTGCACTTGATCTCTTGGGTCAAGTAGAGGATATTATTTTCGAAATTAAGGATTTGTTTGTTCTGTTGAGCAAAGACAACGCTGAAAAAATCATCGAATTGATAAGAAAAAACATTGAATCAGTCAGGGTTCATACAGATGAGCAGCATAAAAAATTTTTGGGTTCCCTTCTAAGGCTTTTAGCTCTATTATTAAACGAGACAAGTATTCAAAGCAAAATCCATAATCTGCTATATGAAATATTCTCGGAAATGTCAATAATGATTTCGGAACAAGTCGATGTTGCTTCCGATAATGCCTTACCCAAATGGCTCGCTCCGGCTTTACTGGTAATTGAAGCGTTCATCTCATTGGCCGATGAGCCCAAATCGGTTGAATTAAATACGAAACCCGAGGAGCAAAAGGAAATAGACGATACTTTCATGGATCCCAACTCTCCGTCTGATTCGCAAAGAATGCAGCTTCTCGAAGATTGTTTGACATTCCTTAAACGGAAAGATCTCGACAAGGACACGATAAGCGCACTGCTCCGAATCCTCGTGCGCCTTACCCGGCGTCATTCTGACGCAATTGAATTTGTCAAGAGGGATGGGCTGAAGTTACTATTTAATGAATTTAAGCCACGCGCGCACGAATTCCGTGGTCAACAAATTTTTATTGTCATGATATTAAGGCACATAATTGAAGATTCATCCGTTTTGGAAACAATAATGGAGCGAGAAATAAAAAATTGGTTTAATAATAATTCTCGTTCTCGTAATGTTGATATTAACACATACCTTCGCGGCACTGCTCAATTTGCCCTGCGAAATCCGGAAATATTTATTCAATCTACCAAGAAAAACTGTAAGTTTCTAAAATATGAGACAAGTGGGCGCATTCAGCAAATCACCTTGATCAAACAAGAAGCTGGTAACATCACAAACAAAGAAACCACGGCAAATGAAGAAGAAATGACTGACGCCGTACCATCCACATCTACTTCACTTGAATCCCCTAAAAAACCATCTTTTGACTCCGACACGGCTGAAAGTCTTATTCAATTTATTGCAAATGAGCTGATGTCAATCCGTGGTCATATTAACACTGTGTCATCGGATACTAAATCATCAGAGAGTATTTTGACCGAAGAGAGCGCCGAAAATGTCTCCAACCCTACTTCCACAACGGCCACCGCTGCTAATGGCGGTAGCTCGCAAACAATTTTTAAACCAGAAGAAAATTTAGATTACCTATGTCGCTGTTTCTTGCTTCAATGTTTAACCGAACTTCTTTCTTCATACCCTTCATGTAAAGTTGAAGTAATGAATATCTCGCGTCGAAAAAATAGTATGGGAGTTGTTTCACAGCAAAAGCCACGGACACCGCTATTGACTTATCTCTTGAATGAGCTGCTTCCTTACGGATGCATCACTCAAACGACCGATGTTGAAATGCGCAAACGTTTCGGGCAATCCAAATGGACGATCTCAGTTTTGGTAGCATTATGCTCAAATATAGGCGGCGAGTCCGATGATAAAAAGCCTCAACCGGAGCTCGTTCAAGTTCGAAAATTTGTTTTGGACAGTATCAATCGTTCATTCAAGAGTGCCATCTCCTCCTCCGACCCGATAGAAGCTAAATACGGAAGAATCTTAGCATTGTCAGAACTGTGTAACGCGCTCCTCACTGCACGCACCAGTCAGAATATTACAGCTAATAAACCCGCCGAAGATGGAACGTCCAGTATTGCAAAGATTATGTTGGATAAAAATTTTGTGAATACTCTGACCGATGCTTTATCCGAAGTTGATCTAAATTATCCCTCGGCAAGAATACTTATCAATGCCCTGTTAAAACCCTTCGAATATCTTACTAAAGTTGCCATCAAATTGGGACGATCGTCGGAGAATTTAACCAAAGATGACAAGGAAAAACGTCGTGATAGTGTTTCGTCAACTTCTACCCCATCCGCCGATGAGATGAACCCCGAAGAAGCCCCGGATTTGTATGCGACCTCTGTGCTCGGTGCCCTCGAAGGAAGAAGAGTCGATAGTGATGAGATGGACGACGACAGTTTGGACTCCTCTGATGAAGAACAAGGATATGATAATGGAGAATTTGATGAGGAAAGTGACCTGAGCGAAGATGATGATGTGGACGACGGTGATGACGATAATGGAGATGATATGGACGTGGAGATACTTGTTCACAGCCATCCCGTGTTGAATAATGATGATAATGAGGAACAAGATTCCGAGAACGAACGCGAAGTACGTCAACACTTGGAAAATGAGGATGACACGGAAGACGAACACATTCGCGTTCGAGATGGCGATGACGATCAAGAAATGTGGGATGTTCACGATCAAGTTATGATAGAGGGTGGGGATATTGCGGAGGAAGTAATTGGCGACGGTGAAGGGCATCTTCATCGACACCGCCGTCATGAACGGTTCGGTGGTAATGATGATGGTGCGGATAGAGACATTATGTTGGTAGACGAAGATGAGGATGATGATGATGATGATGACGATGATGATGATGATGATGAAGCAGACGATGTTGAAGAAAATGACGTCGTGTTGGACAGTGGCGATATAATCGATGATGGGTTCGATAATCGTTTCAACTTTCACTTGGGGTGGAATCAACCTGGAGCATTACTCATGAATGAAGAAGAATTTGGTCTACCTCGATCTGGTCGTGCCTTATTTAGCTTTGGAAATCGTCGCCATCGACACATTCCTGGACGAAGAAACATCATGGAAATCCCTCACGAAAGTCTCGATTATGTTATAAGCGGTGATCCTGGCTACGCATTTAATTTCAGTACAAATGATGATGTCGATATTCCCGGGCTAGGGCGAAGTCGACCTTTAACAAGCGCAAACGACGACGTTACCACTCATCCTCTACTCATCAACCGAACTCCTGTTGTTCCCTCGGTAGCCAACTCTGAACTTACTCGAGGGCGTAGTGTTCGAAATGGACCTTTGGGAGATTGGACTCAGTCAATTGAGGAACTAATTGGTGGTGGTGCAGTCCAATTGTTAGAACAAATACTTAGTAGAAGTCGCCTAGGACATTCCACTTACCGACTCGAGTTGAACCCTACGTCGCCGGGATTGGTGAGTAATATTGAAGTTGAAAGAGTCTTTCCAAGATCCCTATCAACTTCTCAGGACGCACAAAATGTGACGCCACCTAGCGACCCCATAAGTGCGGTTCAAGAATTTATGCCTCATTCCACTTTTCAACGTTGGCACGATGAAGTTCGGATGATGTATGGATCCACAATTGCAGAGAAGGCTATTAAACTGGTGAATCACATTTTGAATGCGTTAACACCTCTAGCTATCGAAGAAGAGAAAAGACGAAAGGAAAAGGAAGAAAAAGAGAAGCAGAAGCAGGAAAGAGAGAGAAGACTTCGAGAAGAGGAAGAACGAATGAAAGCCGAAGAACAAAAAAGGAAAGAGGAAGAAGAGGCCGCGAGACTTAAGACTGAAGCGGAAGAAGCTGCTGCCAGAGAGGCTGCGGAAGCACAAGCTGCAACTGAACAAACAGGACAAACAGAACAACCTATGGCTGGATCGTCGACAGAATCCAACGAGATTGTTGAAGTTACGGAAGTGACTGAAATAGTTGAATTTTCGGATGCCATGCAAGAAGATGCTCCAACCGCCGAATTAGAAAGTATGGTGGAAGTAACAGCAATGGAGGAGGAATCAACCCCTGTGACCGTCATCCCAAGTGTTCCGATGGAAGAAGATACAACTGTAACCGCGACATCGGCCGTCACAGGTTCATCGCAAGTGACATCAGATGAGAATGCAGCAGAAGGTTCTAGCGAAGCTCAATCCGGCAGAACTACTGTCATGGTTAATGGTCGGCCTGTGGATATTACGGATACCGGCTTCGATCTTACCTTCCTTGAAGCATTGCCGGATGATCTAAGAGAAGAAGTGCTTAATCAAAATCTGCCACCTGAAAGACGTACCAGACCACCCGTTACGACCGGAAGTGGGGATGCAATTAGCCCAGAATTTTTAGCGGCGCTTCCCGATGATCTCCGAGAAGAAATTATTCAACAAGAAGAAGCTTTTGGACGTCAACCTGCCGCCGCAGAAATGGATACCGCGAGTTTCTTTGCTTCTTTGGATCCTCAATTGCGACAAACTGTTCTTCTGGAGCAAGATGAGAGAGTCATAGCATCATTACCGCCATCAATTATTGCTGAAGCAAATGCCCTTCGCGAAAGAGCCAGTCGCAGATATACAAATTCGATGAGGTCAAGAACATTAGCTAATACAATTACACCTTCCCATATTCCGAAAAAGCCGACGGTTCAGCGTGATGCCATGAAGCTCGTTGACACCACCGGTTTGGCCACATTAGTTAGATTGCTGTTTTTACCACAACCTTTAAGCAATAAGAACTTGTTGCACAAATTGTTACTTAATCTTTGTGAGAATAGTAAAACTCGCGGCGAACTTATAACGATGCTTCTTTCAGTTCTGTATGAGGGAAGCGGAGACGTGTCAACGGTTGACAAGAGTTTTGCACAAATGTCTTTAAAGGCTAAAGGAGCTCCGAAAGGGACTCCAAGGAGACAGTCAAGCCTTCCGAATCCCTCCCTTTCCCAAATAACTCAAGCAGCTGGAGAAAATGTTCCAAATCTGATAGCACAACGTTGCTTAGAAGCATTGACTTACATCGTTACCAATGAAGCCTCAGTTACATATTTCCTGATGGAGCACGAAAATAATATTGGCTTTAAAAGATCAAATAGTCGCAAAGGAAAAGAAAAACAAACAAGAACAATAATAAGCAAATATCCAGTAGTGATATTGCTAAGTCTACTAGATCGTCAAGTATTCATTAAAAATACAGCGCTGATGGACCAACTGATGCAATTACTTTCAACCGTTTTACGTCCTTTGTCTTCTTTAGCCAAGGTTGAATCATCCAACGCCTCAAATAATTCCGGAGAACAATCAAATTCCGATTCAACCGGGTCCTCTACACAGAACACTGTCCCACAGCAATCTGAGACCGAAAACCAAACAAACAATTCGATTCCGGCATCCTCGCAATCGAATAACACGTCCATTTCCGAAAGTGAACCTAACCCTGGGAATGTACCCAATCCCGGGAGTGCACCTACTCAAGGTCAGTCAAACAATAGTAACGATACTCACAACAATTCATCGAATTCTGAGGGCAACAATGAAAATACAACGCCAGCTAATCCTGAAAGTGAAACGGCTTCAAAACCTACGTCGGCATCAACTTCGAAACCACCAGAAACGGAACAACCTAATTTAAAACCTCCAGAAATTCCGGACTACTGTTTACGACTAGTAGTAAACGTCTTAACTGCAGGAGAATGCATCAGTACAACATTCAAACATACATTATCTGTTATTCAACACCTTTCGACTTTAAAAGGAGCCAGGGATGTCATAACTTCGGAATTAGTCGATCGAGCACAATCACTTGGAAAAGACATACTGGATGATCTGGATGAATTGAGTAAAATATTATCAAGGTCAGATGCAGGCGTAGATGTTCAAGGAGTAACTTTAGCCAAGTTTTCACCATCATCGTCGCAGCAGGCAAAACTCCTCCGCGTCCTCAAAACCATTGATTACATGTATTCACGGAAACAACAATCAGCTTCAACACCTTCTAATAACCAAGTTGAGGTATCACTGGCGCCCACAATAGATCCCGACGAAGCAGGCACTACAGCACCGCGATCATTATTAGATGGCAGTAGCAAAGGTTCCAAATTGACCGAAGACGAAGAGAAGGTTATGAAGATATACGAGAGTCTCAACTTCCGAGATCTCTGGAAGAAATTAGGTTCATGCTTGACCGCTATACACGAAAATCCCGAGATGATTCATGTAGCAACCGTACTCCTTCCACTCATAGAATCCTTAATGGTTGTATGTAAATATGTTGGTATGGCGCCTTCCACCGCTCGTAAAGTGACGTCCCCCACATCTCAATCCTTACCTGAAAGCATGGAGGAATTATTCTTTACCTTTACCGAAGATCATCGAAAGATTCTTAACACTATGGTCAGAAACAATCCGTCATTGATGAGCGGTTCGTTCTCATTACTTGTACATAATCCAAAGATCCTCGAATTCGACAACAAGAGAAATTATTTCAACCAACAACTTCACAAGCGTACCAATAATCGGGATCACTATGGAACCATACAACTCAATATTAGGAGACAACATGTGTTCGAGGATTCCTACCAGAATATACAAAGGAGGACTGGCGATGAAATCAAATATGGTAAACTCAGTGTCCGTTTCGTTGATGAGGAAGGAGTGGATGCTGGTGGAGTAACAAGAGAATGGTTCCAAGTTCTCGCGCGACAGATGTTTAATGAGGGTTACGCATTGTTCAAAACTTCCGCGGCGGACAGATTAACATATCAACCAAACCGAGCTTCGGGAGCAAATCCAAATCATTTATTGTTCTTTAAATTTGTTGGTCGTGTCATTGGTAAAGCAATTTATGATGGTCGACTTTTGGATGCCTATTTTACGCGCTCATTCTACAAGCACATTCTCGGAAAGCCAGTTGATTATCGAGATGTTGAAGCTATTGATTTGGAGTATTATAATAGTTTGGTCTGGATGTTGAACAATGACATTACTCATGTTATGGATCTGACGTTTAGCGTGGAATCGGAATATTACGGTCAAAATGAAATCATTGAGCTAAAGGAGAATGGAAGTAACATTCCTGTTACTGAAGAAAATAAGCGCGAATATGTCATGCTTGTCACGGAACAGAAGCTAACTTTGGCGATTAGGGACCAGATACAGAGTTTCCTCGCCGGATTTCATGAAATTATTCCTGCTCACTTGATCAGTATATTTAACGAACAAGAATTAGAACTACTGATTTCCGGAATGCCAGATATTGATATTGACGATTGGAAGAATAATACCGAATATCAAAATTACACTGCCTCTTCACCCCAAATCCAATGGTTTTGGAGAGCCGTAAGGAGCTTTAGCCAAGAAGAGAGAGCGAAGCTTCTGCAATTTGTCACTGGTACTTCCAAAGTGCCGCTAGAAGGATTCTCCGCGTTACAAGGTGTCCATGGCGTCCAGAAATTCCAAATTCACAAAGATTTCCTAAAGCCAAATCGTCTTCCCTCTGCTCATACATGGTAAGCATGTGCAATATTTTTTATTTACTTATTTTTAATGTTTAATTGAACTAATAAATTTTCCCGAATTAGTTTCAATCAAATCGATATTCCCGAATATGATGATTACGAGCAGTTAAGGTCACAATTGTTACTAGCAATCACTGAAGGAACGACAGGCTTTGGTTTCCAATAATTAGTTTTATGAACTGCTCGATTGGCGTCTTTTAATTAGGATGAGAGAACATTTGTATAATCATTCTTGAGCATCTAGTATCGGCATAAAAATATATTTACTGCTAGGCTCATGTAGTATTTAGAAATAGCAATATTAGGACGGCGATTTTACTTTGTAATTCACAAAAAAAAAATCATTTAATATTCAACATTTTTACAATTTTTTCTACCTTTTTTTTTTTTTTTTTGATTATTTCTTTTTTATTTTGTATATTTCTTCATTTAGGTTAATCACAAAGATTCGGTTGATCATTCTTTTTGCATCACCCTGGATCACTTCAATAAACTTCAGACTTTGCTTCAAAATTTCGCGTGTTAACGCACTTACAATTTAAAAATAATTTACTGAATTTCGAAATTAAGTTTTTATAGATTAAAAAGTCTAATAAATGTATGTTAATTATAATAAAAGGTTTTGCAAAATTATTTTTTAAATCACAATATTAGATGCAAGTTTTATTGAATATTATATTCAAGTATTATATTAATAAACTTATACAAATTCTATATTGCTTTTTTTTTTAACTCACAGCCATGCCTTATGGTTTAATCTTTATTGAAAAGTAAACTATCTACAATATTATAGATTTTTTACATAATAATTAACTTGTCATTGCATCAAAATACTTTAAGTCAGATCTAAAAGACAACATTTACTCTTCTAAAAGATTTGTATATACTGTATTTCTATTCACTACATTTATTGTCAACAGGTTATTACTATAGATTATCCATAAATCATAAATTGTTAAGTTAAAGAAAAAGTAAAAAAAGAAATAATAAAAAAAGACAATTTACAATCTTATCAAAAAAGTTCTGAAAGAAGCAATTCTTCTCTCAAAAGGATTTGCCTAATTGAAATAATTTTCTTGTTCATTTTAAATTTTGAAAGAAATTTTCTTTGTTACCATTTGTGATATTGAACAAGTTAATCTAATTGATCCTTTATTTAAGTAAGTATTGAATTGAAATATCTTCAAAAAATAATTTAGACCTTAATTTTTATTTATTAAAGCTTTATTTTATTTATTTTTTTTTTTTAAACCCTCTGTCAGGCTAGTTATGTGTGCTTTATTAAACAATTGTAAGCTGTACATATAGTATGA